GACGCCTTGCTTACTTTTCCTCGCTCCACTAGCGGGGAGCGCATGTCCTCTAGTCTCTTCGACCAAATTATGGGGGGTGAGGGCAGAGAATAAACCAGAACCTTTGTAGAGATGAGAATCGCAAAGAGTTACGGCCGATAGCATCAGCTGAACGAGTGGAAAAGGGAGTTTCTCTCTGCCCCACCCGGCCATAAATTGTTCGCTCACTTCATGACATTTCTGTGCGCAAACTGTCTGTCGAGTTTCTCCCGCAGCGCACACAGTTATTTCGCTTGGCAGCGATTGCCTGTGAAGCACTTTAAGGCTGTAACTGTCCAGCGCCTTGGGACGTCCTCCCGACGTGAAAGGCGCTCTATAAATGAAATCTTGTTGTTGGTGTTACAGACACTGGGTTATTTATCACTTTGGATATTTACCCATTGACTTTGGTAAAGACACGAGGTTTGCCCTCCGTCTCCAACAGGGACACGAGGGGGGGAGGGCTGGCGCCTGACCTCTGCCGGTCCCTCGAGCCCAAACCACAAGCAAAGCCACATGACAGGAGCATCCACCACCAACAAAACCCCTCTTTCTCCTCCACCCCGACACCAGGAAAAATACAGCCATTGTCCCCCGGAGACCCAGTGTTGGCCTGAGGTGCCGAGCAATGCCAGCTCCTCAATTATCCCATGAACTAACCGTGGAAACGGCTTCAGGCCATGTGCAGGCCTTCAAGATGGGAGTATCCAACCAAACAGAGTTCCGTGCATTCCACCTACACAGGTTGTGGTTTGACGCCACAAAACTTTGACAACAAAACAGGTGTAGAGATTGCAGCTCACAGGTTTCCATTATAACCTGTTATACTGTTACATTCAGGACAGCACAAGTTCTGACACGCTCTATTCAACTGGGCGTAGCAGCTCTCATTTACCACACAACGCAACTCCCCAGAGATCCCGTCACTGGTGACATTCTAGGAAATGGAAGAAGGGATCCTCCTCCCTCGCTGCGTCCTGGCCAACACTCCCCAGGTCCCTGGTTGAGTTAACCATCTAACAATCAGCCCAGACCAATGCTGAGTTCGCAAACCTGGAGCCCTCTAAAGCTTGGTTCAAGCCACACAATGTCGCCAACCAGGCCACTGGGGGGGGCACCCTACACACCCACAATCAGCCCCACCCAACAGGTTAAAGACTCTTACCATATTATAGTTGAGCTCTGGCTTTCTAGTAAAGCAAGGAACGTTACAGGACAAGAGGCCATTCAGCCCCTTGTGTTTGTGCTCTATTCAATAGCTCTGCACTTAGTCCCAATCTCCCACCTTCTCCCCCTCGGTCTCCCTCACCTCCCGCGCCCCACCTATTTAATAATAATCCTTGCATTGGATACAGCGCATTTCACGTTGGGAGGACGTCTCAAAGCGCATCGCTGTTTTTAGCCGCAAAGTGCTATCTTTTTGGATATTTCTGCTAATTCCCCTCTTAAAAGCTCACGTGGATTGTGCTTCAACTAACTGCACTTCCAGCTCAGGCATTCCACATTCCAACACCCCTCGGTGTACAACAGCTCCCCTGACCTCACTCCCTTTGTTTCTTTGTTCAAATAAATAACTCGAAGATCACTGCTTAGTGGTTATGTTCAAGCTCGCTCGCTGTTACTGTGTTGGAAAGGGGAGGGGGTTGTGCGTGTGTGTATATATGTTTTATACATTACATATATGTGCGTGGGTGTGTTTATAGTGTGTTTGTGTCTGCGTGTGTCTGTCTGTCCGCCTGCACATGCAAACAAGGAGCTGTCAATCATTCTTCAAAATCACAGGACCTGGAATGTAGTGGAACGAGTTGCTATGAAACTCAGACGATGATTCACCCTGGAGCTGGCTCTCAGCCAACATTAGGAACCAGGGAATCTCCAGATAATAATAATCCTTGCATTTGATATAGCGCCTCATCACGTCTTCTAGATGTCTCAAAGTGCTTCACAGGATATACTGTAAAGTGGATTGACTGTGTATTTTGTGAGAGAAACGCGGCAGCCAATTGCGCACAGCAGTATCCCAGAGTCGTGGATTAAGGGACCAAATTTTGGGGGGGACGGATTATTGCCCCTGGAAAGCGATTCCGCCAATTGACTAATAACTGGGTTCCTACTTACTGCTGGGTAAAAACAGAGGTGTGTGGAATAAGGAAATGTTAAATACTCCTTCCTCACTAATGAACACAGAGCATCTCTCCATCTACGCTGTCTCTTTCAGCCTTCTCACTCACCCCTACCCCCACCCCTCGTCCATGATAAGCCAATCAGCCCCTCGAGCCTGTTCCGCCATCTTATTAGCTCAAGGCTGATTTGTATCTCAACTCCATTTACTCGCGTTCATCCCATATCCCTTGATACCCTGACCTAATAAAAATCTATCGATCGACCTCAGTCTTGAAAATCTCAATTGATCCAGCGTCCACAGCCTTTTAGGGGATGGAGAGTTCTGGATTTCCACTGGCCTTTGTATGGAAAAAGTGTTTCCAGATTTCACTCCTGAATGGCCTTTGTCATTTTAAACACCTCAATTAGATAACCCAACCTTCTAAACTCAAGGGAAGGTATGATAGGTATTATAAATAATATATTATTTGTAGGTATTACATATATTGGATATTGTACATAATACGCTTTACAGTACATCCTGTGAAGCATTTTGAAACATCTCAAAGACTTGATAAGGCGCTATATCAAATGCAAGGATTACTATTATTATGGCTGGGGGTGGGTGTGGGGATAGTTTAAATTAAACAGTGGGAACTGATGACCCTCAGTGACTGATGTGGCGATGGTTTTGTTTTACAGGTTACAACAAACTCTCACTCACCTGGACTTGCATCAAACGTTCCCTGGGGGCTTGAAAAGACTTTTAATCAGGAAGCAAGTGACGGGCTGTGGTTCCCGTGCCTCACTCCCGCTGTTTATGAGACGCAGCTGGTTCAGAGCCTCAGACTACCGAGTTCTCCACCTTCCTGGCTTTATTCCTCCCCCTCCCCCCACCCCCAGTGAAAATCTGCTCCATGTTTCATCTCTTAGCCCACAAAATATACATTAACCACTCCTCACAGTCAACTCTGTCAAGTGCTTTGAGACGTCGTCCTGACGTGAAAACTGTACCCCTCCCCCCTGACTACCTCGCTCAACATTCCTGGCAATGCAACAACACTGACATTCCAGGATTGGTGAAAAGCCATGTGGGAGTGGAAGCCACTTACAGCTATTTAAGGCTGCCAAGAATTCCCTGAAATCACAGCCACTACACTTGACAGCAATTCCCAGTGACACGCTTGGAGGTATTTTGATGCACTGGAACAAACACAAGGATCGTCATTACTAACATTAGGAATTCCTCATCGAACCTGAGTCACACTGCGTCTTTTTTTCCTCTCTTTCTCGCGCTCTCTCTCTCTCTCTGAGTCGTTACCTTGAAACTTGCAAGTTCTTCATCGCTGAACCCATGACTGTGGATGATCTTCATCTGTTTGACCAGAGTGCTCTTCCCACTCTCCGCTGCACCTGGAGAAAGGTCGAGAAGTTCTTTGAAGAGTTTACATACAAAGGACATCTCCTAGATTCTGCACTGGGCCAATGGCAACACTAGTTGCCATTGCTTTGCGAGCGAGAGACCCGAGTTCAATTCCAGGCAGAGGGCGAAACCTTGGGCAAGTTTCCTTACTCCACACAGAGCCTAATAATAATCCCTCCAAAACCAAAAACAATAATAAATTGGTCATTTTCAATCTACGACTGTTTGTGGGACATTGCTGTGCGCAATTGGCTGCCGCGTTCGCCCACAAATATACAGTCAATTCACTCTACAGTGTGTTCTGTGAAGCGCTTTGGGACGTCCTCCCGACGTGAAAAGCGCTATATCAAATGCGAGGATTATTGTTATTATTATTATAGTGGTTGTGTGTTCAAGACTCGAGGAGTTAGTTAGTTCCCTCAGCAAAGGTGAGGCAACCTCACAGATAACGTTCCTCTGCAGTCACTTTATTTCACAGTAAATTCTGTGAAGTGCTTTGCGATGTCCTTCTGACGTGATAAGGGGCTAATACCAAATGAAAAGATTGTTATTATTGGAGACGTTTTTGTGGGATCAGGCACCGTGTCTAACGCAAGGACGGTTATGGCTGGTGCCTTTTTTCTTCCCATTCATTTTCAGCTTCCCAGTCACCACGGAGCAGTTGTACAATGACGCCCTTGGATATTCCCAACATAGCACTAACGACCACTTAGCATGGCAGTCAGAAAAGGGGCAGTGGGGGAGGAAGAGTTCAGTCGAAAATAGTGTACAATATAGCTTTAATTGGTTACAGTAGGACTCTCAAGCCTTCCATTAAAACTTGCCTTCAGAAGCAACAATCCTCCTCTCTTTTTTTAAAAAAAAACCTCAGCAAGTTTGTCAGATGAAACTTTTTCCTCTTGCACAAAAGGCTTCTTTTATTGGCTGGGCTGGGGCTGGCCAAACTGGCTCTGGTTTTATTCAATAAAGAGAGCAACTGAGATTTGATCAACGATGTGATGGTAGATTGGGACATCACAATCTAACTCGAAATTGGAAAGTAATTGGCTTTTAAAGAGATGAGGTCGATTCTGGTGTGTGTTGTGTGTGTGGTTTTTGGGGGTTTGATGACCAAACTCTATGAGGTCATGTCACAAACACACTCGCTTGTCACTAGAAGCTTTTGCTTGGTTCTTGTTCCTCCTAATTTAAAAGCCCCACATTTTTTTGGGGGGTGGGTCGGTGCTAACTTAACCTTAGCCCCCAAAGAACGACTCTGCTGTACCCCAATCTGGTGGGGGGTGAACCCCCACACACGTGTCTATTTATTTACTATACTTACAATACACAAGTTATTCTCCGCTCGCCTGTGATCCCAGTTACACGCCCCATAAAAGCAACATACAAATCATCCGCAGCGGTGCAACTTAGAACATTAATACATATATTTATATAAAGAAAACATAAGAATACCTTCAGAGCAGGCAGCATCAGGTCAGACTTAAGGTAACTGCATTTACAGGGGGGAGGATTTCTTTTTTTTAAAAAAGGGAGTAAATTAAATTCTCCTAAAAAATCAAAGCAAAAAAAAAATCCCAACCCATAACATTAACATTAGTCCATTTACAGTAGAAACAAATATAAACCAGTGGGAAAGTTTAGGGGTAGTTTTGAAGACAGCCCGGGTTTGGACTGTCAGATCACACATTCCACCTTCCCTTTCCCTGGTTTAGCAGCCAGACTGTGTGTGTGTGTGTGTGAATGAGTGAGTGAGTGAGTGTATGTGTGAATGAGTGAGTGTATGTGTGAATGAGTGAGTGTATGTGTGAATGAGTGTGTGTGTGAGTGAGTGAGTGTATGTGTGAATGAGTGAATGTATATGTGAATGAGTGTGTGTGTGAATGAGTGAGTGAGTGTATGTGTGAATGAGTGTGAAGGAGTGTGTGTGAATGAGTGAGTGAGTGAATGAATGTGTGTGAATGAACGAGTGAGTGTGTGAATGAGTGTGTGAATGAATGAGTGGGTGTGTGAATGAGTGTGTGAATGAATGAGTGAGTGTGTGAATGAATGAATGAGTGAGTGAATGAATGAGTGAGTGTGTGAATGAATGAATGAGTGAGTGAATGAATGAGTGAGTGTGTGAATGAGTGAGTGTGTGAATGAGTGAGTGTGTGAATGAATGAGTGTGTGAATGAATGAGTGAGTGTGTGAATGAGTGTATGAATGAATGAGTGTGTGTGTGTGTGTGAATGAGTGAGTGTGTGTGAGTGTGTGTGTGAGTTTCTACTTACCCAGAAGTAGGATTTTCACTACGTTGAACTCTTGTTTGGCGAACTCGTATAACGCGCGGTCGATTTTCTCGCTGCGTATCCGCGCCTCGCGCTCCTCAGCGCTCGCATCCGACCCCAAGCAGAGCCCCATATCCGCAGACCATTGCTCCCCGAGGTGGGAGGGGGGGAGAGAGAGAGAGAGAGAGAGAGTCGTTGGGGGTAGGGATGGGGGTGAATGATGAGATGGAAGAAAACTTGTACAATCCGACCAGGTCGCCCTCACTCCCCGACCAGTGAGCGAACTCCTTTCCCCCAACTTAATGCTGTTAACATCTCCCCCCCACTCCCCCCCCCCACCCCCCCCCACACACACACACACACACGTGCGCACACACACACACAGTACTCTACCCTCACACACACACACACACGTACACACCCCCTTACACACACACACACAGTACTCTATCCTCACACACACACACGTACACACACCCTTACACACACAGTACTCTATCCTCACACACACACACACACGTACACACCCCCTTACACACACATACAATACTCTACCCTCACACACACACACAGTACTCTACCCTCACACACACACACAGTACTCTACCCTCACACACACACACACACAGTACTCTACCCTAATAAACACACTCACATAACACTCTACTCTTGCACACACACACACACACACACAGAACCCTACCCTTATAAACACACACCCACACAGCACGCCACTCACATACATATACACACACACACACACTCACACACACAGCTCCACCCCTGTAAACACCAACTCGCCCTAAACTTCTCTTAAAAAGAAAAACTCCAAAAACTTTGAAAGCGCCGTCTACTGCTGGTGATGGTTACATTACACCCCCAACACCCCCCACCCCCCCCACACACCCCACCCCCCACACACACACACACCCCCACACACACCCCCCCACACACACACACACCCCACACACACACACACACACCAACCACCCAAAAACTGGCAACTTTCAGAGGAAATGACGTCGGATTGTTCAATGGACTTAACTCTTTTTTGCTGTGGGAATAACTGGAGTTTCAAAGTAAAAAAAAAAGGAGGTTATGGACCGTTTTGCAACTGTTTTGTTGCGTTTCCAACAGAATGCATTCGCTCACCACTCTGCAGCGATCAATCACTGGGTTAACTGGATGGACACCTGTATTAAGCGTTATAATGACCAGGCACTGATTTCGACCCCCCACCCCCCCCCCCCATCCCCTCCCCCCCACCCCCACTCTTCTCCCCCATTGATTAAATGTCCATGATGTCTCTCTGTCTTCCCTCTCCCACAACCCACCCACCAATGTCAAGGCGCGGACACTAAAGCGGCTAATTTCTATCGGGATCAGGAATGCAGCATTTCTGCACCAGTACTTCTTTGTGTATTTTTTTCCACGCATAAATATGTGAAATATATATTTACAAAGGCGGCGTTATTATAATTCGCAACAGCTCCCTGATCCTGGGCATATCTGCCCCGCACCCCCCCCCCTCCCGACTGCTGGTCACTGATGATGGGAGACTAGGGATGGGGGGGGGGGGGGAAAGGGGATAATTTGGTACGTTTGATCTTAAACCATCTGATGCCCACACTGTTGAACCATTAAATAAATAAGTAATAAATTGGTCTCTCAATCCACGACTGTTTGTGGGACACTGCTGCGGTCAATTAGTTGCCATGTTTTGCCCACAAAAATACACAATCATTCCATAGACAATATATTCTGTGAAGCGCTTTGAGACGTCTCAATGTTATGGCTCAACGTGATAAAGCGCTATATCAAATGCAAGGATTATTATTTTCTCGTTTGTTTGCTGACCGGAGTATTTAAGATAATGCTATTTGCCTTTGTATTGAAATAAAAGCCCGTGTTACATTTACTCACTTGTGATACTAAGCGGCCAAAACATTTTTTACTGTAAAGGTATTTTTTAGATAATTCTTTGGGAGTTTGAAGGTTCTAGAGCACTGAATAGTCCGTGATGTTTGTGTAAAATTACACTTTCACCCTTCACCTAATGCTGTACTTATTCCCTCGGAAATAAACAGAAAATACTGGAAATGCACAGCTGATCAAACACTTTCACCTCCGGGTCAGAAGGTTGTTGCTCCACAAAAGGACTTTGCAACCTGCTGGAATGTGAACTCAGTCCCACAAACATAAAATGAAAACCAATTTTTTCTTAAAATCTCAGACTGTTGGTCCAGATGCCGGGATAAACACCCCTTCTCTTTTCCAAATTCTGCCATGGGATCTTTAACATCCATCTGACCACGCAAACAGAAACACTTCTTAACATCTCGCCCTGAAGGATGGCGCTTGCTGTGCATTGAAGTGCAAGTCTAAGACAGGAAGGAAGCTCAAAGTCTCGAGATGGACCTTGAACACATACCCGAGGCAAACGCACAACCAACTGAGCCAGTGGAAAGATGGTAAGTTATTTGATAAAATATTTTAAATATAGTTAATCCCGTCGGCAAGATTGCACAAAATGGCAGACTCTCTCCGGGACTATTTTGACATGGGGCTGAGTGCACAAGGAAAATAACCTGACCTAACAGAATGTTCTCACTGAGAAGCAAACATCTGGTTCTGGTTTGCAGTAATTTATGGGTAAAGGCCGACTTAGAGGAACACTTCTCAGAACTTCAATGCCATACTTAACCCCACCCAAACCTGTGGTAACCCACAGGCCTTTAAGGCACAACCAAAAGCCATCAAGATAGATAGCCAAATGCAGCTGCACTGTGAAGCACTATCACTTCAGGGCAGTTAGCATAGGTCATTGCATCTTCACCTTGCACAATGAACCTTGCATTCTCTATATGTACGTGGAATACACAATTATAAATTTAAAGTGTGAATATCATTATTTTGAAGTCATAAAATCATACATATCACACAAGATGCTTTTTTGTTTTAATTGTTTCACCAGCATACATCGCACAACATACATTTACTTAACATTTGGACAGAAAGTTCAAAAGTTATTTATAGACCAGTTTAGGACATCCATTCATTAAAACGGCACACAAACAGCAAAACGTTTTTTATGAGAATTACAATTTACAAACTGAACAGTTTAAAAGGAGGTCATGGTCGCTGTATCCATTTTTAAAAAGCAATGCTACAGCCTATTGTACGCTAAAAGCTAACAGATAAAAACACACCATGCACGCACAGTGCTCTCCAGAACCAGCGAGGAAACAAATAATGGAAGTACAAGTCATTTCTGAGGTGAAATCAGCAAAGGTCTGTCTCAGAGGCGTTAAAAAGATCGGTTTAATTGTCAAACAACGATAATCACTGCCACTGACATGATAATGAATCACCACCAAGAACAATAAGGATGCACAATAAAAAGGTTTTAAGGAATTTTGAAATACAAAAAATTTGCCAAACCTATAATTTTCATTATACGATGCCCCTCAAAAGTCTTCAGAATTTGCTCCAAGTTTCTTTGCCGCCCTCCCTCCCAACCCCCAGTGTAGTGGAAGAATAGGTTTAACATGCTACCCTGCATACATGCTGGCTTTTATTTTTTTTTAAACATTGATTCAGATTTCACTTGCAAACCGTTTGAGATCACATCAACTGTGCATAATGGTGACAGTAACTCGACACTGGGACCTTCAATATTGTACACTCCCAGAGAATAAATTCCGAACACACACTGCACCCAGGGATTGTAGTAAAAAAGAGTTTGAAATGAAATGCCTCAACTTTCCATTCAGCTACATTGTGGAGGAGAGAACAAAATGGAATTTGGCTCATAATTTTATGGGTCTAGAGAACAACAAGGGGTGAGTCAATTGCCTTCCAGACCAGGATAAAATAAAATCATGTTTCACTATCTGAGGACCAGTTAAAGTCTAAAATTTAGAAAACACCAACAACGCTTGTATTTTAATTGTTGATCTTAAAAAAAATCTTTAAATAGAAATAAGCATGATATATATATTTATATTATATATATAAAATCCATTTTCTGCAAAAACATAAGATATTTGAATAGTCTACAGTGTTAGACTTTCTCCAAGTCAACAGAACAAGAATAAATAGAATTTATAACTAATTTAAATTACACATAGAACGGATTTGTTTTTACAGCGCGGGACTCTATAATCACAGTTATTTGGATATTTACAAGTAATTTGGTTTAGTACATGCAAAGTCTTTAGAATGCCCTTCAGTGCACATCATTTTAGCGGTTAGAACTATTAAAAAGTATTCATATTTTGTCAAGTAAAATGCATTGTAAAGTTAAAATGCCAAAACACGGTAAACCTTAAAAACCGAGTGTTAAAGAAAGTGTTTGTAAAATGTAGTGTGTTGGTGTAAACAAACATCACAAGTGGATATTTCAGTTTTGTCAGAAAAGTCTATTCATTGCTGCCCTCATCAGGGACATCTTCCTTCAGCTGTTCGTTCCTCTTCCTGACGGCCTGGATAGCCGCCAGCTCCTTCGCTTCCTTCTTCTGATTCCTCGCTTCAAACAGCAGCCTTCAATGACAACAGAAAGGAAGATTGTTTTTTACAATGGGAACAAAAAAGAACACCGAACAAAAACAAATGTACTGCTGCAGAAATTAATTCTTAATGCATTTCTCAAACACAGGTGACGAATGCATTAAGAAAGCAAGTTGAAAAGAGAAGCCTTAAAGCTGCCAACAGGAAAATGCCACTCTGCAAACCAACATTTCTAATAGGTTTCATCAGCGAGCTACCAGGTATCTTGATCAACTGAGAAACATTTCAGCTATCGCTTTCATACCACAACCTTCTTCACAAGACATCGCTGGCTTAAAGCCAGTGATATTACAGAGTGATCCCAATGTATCTGGTGTTGCAACATAGTAGGAAAAGACTCTGCCCTCACTCACCTGTTCTTGATTATTCTTTGAACAATGTGATCTGTAGTGAGCTCATTGCCACTGTGGATGGTTTTGAAGATGTTGCGTTGCTTGGCTTCCTGAGGTCAGAAATGAAAGGGTATTACAACAGGGATGGAATTCTAAACCAGACTCAGTGGCTCATCAAACTTAAGCACCACGGCAATTTTTGCTGGATTTGTCAGGAAAGCTGCCTTGCAGATGGCTGGAGCTCGCTGTTATCTCAGTTACTTGGAGAAGAGCACTGTGCATGAGCAATTCTTCAGATGGCGCCAAGTTTTAACATACAACAGACAATGCTGCTGAAGTAGGTGTGTAGTATAAACGATGCAGCGTTCGCCTGACTCTTCACCAATTCCTTTTCACAGTGTGACTAACTTTATAGCAAATCCTGTGAAGTGGTTGGAGACGTTGTCCTGATGTGAAAGGCATAATCAAATGCAAGGATGATTGTTTACTGCAAAGTAATTAAAAGTTCTGGCCGTCTGGAACTCCAAAGTCACTTGGCTTTGCAACCTCTTCCCCCTTCAATTGTGTCTGGTCAACATCTATAAATGTCCTTTACCCCTTCTCTGTGCTAATGACTGCATTTGTCCAATGCTTTGAGATGTGAAAAACACTCTGAAAATGGAAACCATCAGTTCACAGTGAAGACTACATACAGGCAAACATGCACCACCTGCAAACAGCCCGAACTTACTTGCATTGCAGCCAAGTGGATCACAAAAAAGGTAATTATTTCAGAGAATGTTGGATGGAGTGCAGGAGGCTTTATTTTAGGGAATGAAACTCATGAATTAATTAGCTCATATTAGAGATCAGATTGTTCCAACTTACTGCATAAGGGTCAGCACCATCCTTATCCACCATTACTTCAGTCTTTCCATGACAGACAAGGTCAACCTTGAGAGAAAACAATAGCTTGGTCAATGCAGTAATTAGTCACTAGTGCAATCTAACAGCTGGAATGTCTTCGGATTTCACTTCGCAAACAGTTCTTACAGGTCATTCATCACCTTGGATTAAATAAATGAATAAATAGCAGCCGAGTTTTGATCCGATTTGCCTCTTCAAGGTCACGTCCACCAATCTTCACTTAGCCTTCTTCTCCCCCACTAAAGACATTCAAGACATCCCCAAATCCTCAAACACGTCTGTTTAGTAAATTAATGCACAAGCGGATTGAGTACTCACACAGACTAACTACAAGATAATGGCAAAAACAACTAGTCCATGAGGCTAGACATTTTCAAACTAGAGGATGGAGTTGGGGCTGAATGTCTCAGTGGGTTTAGTAAACTGTGCTCTCAGTCCTTGGACGTGGCCTGGAACCCAGCCCAGACAGATGGGATGAGTCTTTCAGCTCATACTGTGCTTAAGGGACTCATTAACCTTGGGCGCTTGAAGTCCATTTCCATCAGAGCACCAAGCTGCCTTCATGTTTCATGCTGTGGGAACAAGCCCCAGAAACTCAATTTGCTGCTGATAGAGTGCTCAACACTGGGTTTAAGCAAATAGGAAATACCAGGGGAGCTCTGCATTGCCCGTTACCTGGAGTGTACCTCATGTCGTCACTCGGTGCAAAGCAGAAACACTTTTCCATTCTCCAGTACTGTTAATCCATCATCCCGATAAGCAGAAATACACACAAAAGAAAAAAGCTGTTTTGTAAAGCTGTTTCCAGCTGCAGCTTTGCTACAGTACTTGCTTCACAATTGTTTTCATAAAACACCCCATCATGAAATGATTATTGCAGAACTGAAGAAATATCCTGCTTTTTCCTTTCAATAACTCATTCTGGTTGTGGTTCCACCGACATCAGCCACCTCCAAATGGCCGTTCTTTACATCGGCAGCAAATATCAGGGGGCCTTGTTACTGGGGAAGTCAAGTCTTACATCAAGTGTTGAATCTTAACCACCCTGTCCACATTATTATTTTAACCACATTACCAGTCAGCTGATTGTTTCACTTGAACGGGGCTATAGAACTAGTGGGTTCAATTACATCATTGTTTAACAAGTTGGAACGAAGATGGGCCATGATTTGCTTTACTTAACAAATAAGATTTCCATTTCAGACAATCCTACCTTGAAGTGGTCCAGTAAGTCTGCAGTCACAGAATACGGTGCTCCTATCACTACCTCCGACACATACTGGTGGGGGGGGAAAAAATATTTTTTATTGGCAGGAGATTAAAAAAATCCAAATATGTAAGCAATTGATCTGACTAAATTTTCAGAGCGATTACAAATCTGATGTCTAAATTCTGGGATTATTTTAAAATGACATTGCACTCACTCTGCAGGCTAACACACTGAGTGTCCTCTCGTGGATATTCATGATTGGGTAATTCTTCCCCTTGTATCGGTTCACCTCCTACAAGAGGAAAAAAGGCCTTGAATAAAAAATACCAGAGCTTAGAAGGCACAAGACAAGCTGATCCAAGCACTAATCCATCTAGCAGAATGTAACCGATTGTGTTAGCTGGACTCCCGCCTCTCCATGGGATGCAATCATGTGATCAGCACACACTTCCGTGTGACCCAGCAAACAGACGAGCTGACACACACACAAACAAATTAAATACTAGATACGGCCATTGTTTCAACAAAATCTGCATATTTTAAATGGTTCATACTCAGTTATTTAAAAACAGTTGAGTGAATGGCTCAGCGGGTATACACAACAGTGAACCTGCTCTTCATCCGTAAACATTCGGTAGTTTGCAAACATTGCTTTGTTTCTGCTGTCTACATATGCAGCAGTATGCACTCACTGTATTGTTAAGAGGCACAGTCATTGATAGTAGGGTAGAGTACACTCTGCAGTGTGTTCAGGAGTCAGAGCAGGATTCATTTGTTTAAAGGAAGGAAATTGCATTACTGGATGGTGCTGTTGTCATCACTCAAACCTTATTTAAAAAAGCTAAGAGGCATTTGATGTTGTTGATGATATCCTTTCCACGGTCTAAATACAATAAGGCTTTCACGCCAGGAGGACATTTCGAACAACTTAAAGGTCAGCTTTTGAGTTTGCTCATTCCATCACTAGTATTCTTCCAATTCTAATCCAATTTTTCTGCCCAATATACCGAAAGAAATAATAAAAAAAGCTGTTAAAAGAGTATTGGTTTTGCAATCATGCAGTTGTTTTAAGAGAGCACAACTATGCTGCAGCTAGCTGCTAGAGTTTGACACAATATTCCTACTAACAGTGAGAATAGAAGCACAACTGTAAATTATCCTGACAAGAAAAAAAGTTTTCTAGGAGAAATTAATTCTGGCTTTTACAGATAAAGGTGACAGGAATGTATAGACAGACCACGGGTAAGTGGTGTAAGCTGTGCCCACCTGGTCAAAGTGCAGACCAACAATGACATATGGTCTCTGTGCCATGTTGTACACACTTTCCAGAAAGTCGACATGACCAATATCTTGAAAAATTGTAAAGGAATTGAACATTGGTCAGAGCTTTGTGCTCCGACTAGACACGGTTTTGCAGTGACTAAGTGGAACAATCGATCAGTATGAATAAGGATACGGAACAAATCAAAAGCCCCGGCCACGTAGATGATCGTGTCATTCGGTTGAGGCTCTTTCCCAGAAGCAAATTGAATTATTTTTTGTGACGTCTGCAAGAACTGAGACACTCCAGTCCATGGGCTGTGACCTTTTGGCCCCTTTAAGGAAAAAAGGAAAACAGATTTACTTTGAACACTTCCATTAAATTAATGCGTTCTACAACATTGCCCTTTTTCTAATAGATTTGTTAAGTGTGTATATATAAAACACACATTAAATTGTTCATCTGGGCTAGACACCTGTGCCCCCGCCCAACACGAAGGCTGGCAAAACTGGTCTTTATCATGTAAGGAACAACAATTTAGATAAGTGTAGTTTGTTTGACTGGACACAGATAACGCCCTTATCAACAATCAGAACGTTTTGTACTTACAGAAAATATCCTGGCTGCCAACTAAAATTGTAATTCAATTCTAGTCAAAAGTCAGCACTTAAAAAAAATACTGTCAACACAAGGAGCACTTTCACTTTACAAGCACCTGTATGGTACTTAAGCCGAGCACAAGTCCTTCTCCACAAATATGCATGCAATAATACATCGATGTTAATAGGTGTTAGCCTCAGCTAAGTACCGTGCATTTCCACTTTCAGGAAACGTTTGTTAAAGAATTTATAGCAAAATTAAAATGACCCACAGTTTTTGAAAGTCCCAGGAAGAGAGGCTAGAGCCCCCCCACCCCATACCAGGACAGGCCAGAGACGGGCTCTGTGCACCCTCCTCCAGGAGGGCTGGTTGGAATACAGTGTTTAATAGCTATAAGCCTGTGCAGTTGCTTGCCTCCCTTTTCTTCACAGCTTATACTTAAGTTATAACTCCGAATGTATCAGAGGGAGAATGCCCAAGTGTCCAAATGACACAAAGTTGTGTAAGAAAGAAGGACGTTCAGAAAGAGCTGCTAGTATTTAGCAACTGGTAAGTAGTGCACAATCCTGAAAAGAAGCAATATGTAATTAATGTTACAATTAACAAGCGATTACAGAAACAAAGGGAATATTCATCGTGTGAAGTGCAGAGGGAAGAGATTTTGTGCCAGGAGACCACATGGTGTGGCAGCAATGGTTAGAACAAGTGAGGTGTTGAAGTGGGTTAGTAAATATCTCGCATGTTTGGACTCAGACAAATGCTTTAGATGGTACAATACAGCAATGTGGAAGTATAAGGCAGATTTGTTGGACAAATGCAGACTCAAAGTTGAGTTCTGTACAGATTGGGAAATGCACACAAGCAATTCTGCTCATTGGTCTCCAAATATCGGAGATATATATTAAATTAGAACAGAACTGCTGGATGGTGGAGCTCGCATCTGAATTCCATTATATTTCAACATTTGTCTTTCTCGTGTGAAAGCCCTCATCTGATACGAGCAGAAAAGTGCCACCTGGATGTGAATTTGGCAGGATTACATTGGACGCTCAAGGGTCTGTGTGCACAAAAACTGCTTTGTTGCAATCTGACATATTAAGAGTGTTGAGTACATTGCTCGCTGCAGCCACATTTGCTTTAACCATTGCAATGACGGTGCCGCTCTTTAAATTGGTAAACTATGGAAGCAGCCAAGCTTATGGGGAAATAATATGAAACAATATGGTATATGGTGACAAGAATTGGGCTGTTGATGGTGGATCAATCCGCGATTGGGACCTTGCAATGAGGGGAAAGGGGAGGATGGGACGGGAGCAAGCCCGCATCCGACCACTCAGTAGTGTACTAACACTAAGATATTCGATGGCAGACAACTTATTGTTGCAACATTTTTTGATACAGAAATACACGTTACGGATGGCAAAGCAAATTCATCTCGCCGGGAAATGTGACTTGTGTAAAGCTTGCCACTGAATTGTCGTGCCAGAGGGCTGCATGTACAGAATTTAATTGCACACTTCATAACTGACAGATCTTAGTGCAAGTTATGGCTCAGAAAATGAATATAATTTGCTAAGTATTTAAACAAAACCCCAGACGCACGTTGTCAGATGCTCAGAGGAAACAATCCAATAGCACCACCTTGTGGAGGAATCTAATCAGGATCAAGAATCGGTCATTAAACTTGGGATTAACCTTTTTCGCCCAACAGAAATAAGTTGGTCGGATAAAGGTTTAGAAACGAAACAAAATGTTAATATTAGGGTTTTATGGCCGGCTTTGATTTGGGGGCAAAAACCCCCAGAACATCCAAAAAATCAAATTTGAAATGCATCTTCAAGGCAGCTGTAAGCGATTTTCGGTCAAAAAAAGCAAAAGGGAGGAAGAGTATAACATCCTCTCCAAACTAAATAGCTGATCTGTGACACGCAAATAATAATCCTTGCATTTAAAGGGCCATATTAGGTGTTTCTCCCTAAATATTTAAAATTAACATTCTGAACACCGAAGCGTATGTAATTTGCAAACCTGTTTCAAACATAGAAGTAATTTAGGAGCAACACAAATTATTTTTTCAAACCGGTTTGGGCTGATTTTGTCATCACTAAATTACAATCTAACCATTGTGCCTAAGCCCTTTCCTGCAGAATTACTGGAATATTTCCCTTTCCCCTAGTAGTAACCCGGGGAAAATTCAACAAATATTACACATTCCTTGACACCAACCTTTCCAGCCTCCCACAGATTCAAATTTTAAATATGGGCAGCATTGCCAAATGTACCAAACAGACTGTTCAGCAACAATGAATCAGTCAGATTAAACTTAAATAACTGAACAGGACTTGAGCATGCCTGCATTTTACTTTTAATTTGTGCTAGTTTGCTGTAAAGATCAATTTCTCATAAGCATCTTCACGGTATAACGGTCATTTTGCTGATATCTTTCAAAGCTTCTCCTGTAAGAGGAGAATGTGCTCCACAGTTCTCAGCAGGTGGACTGTTGCTCACTCATACAAAAGGAAATTTAAAGGGGAGAAAAACAAAGGAGTAACTGAAAGCTATAATCCAAGCAGTTAGCATTCAGTAACATGCGCCACAAACTGAAAGGAGGCATACAGGGAAAAAGGAGAGAAACTGAAATTATACCTTGCCAAAGTTGTCAGTGTGCTGCTGGTAGTCTGAATTTTTTTCCTGCAGAGAGGTTGAGGGGAAAAATAATTTAAACAATCACTGTATAATCTTGCGTGCCAAAACAAGATGAACCCAAATCTTTTTCAATTGCATCACATAGGAATAGGTGATATTTATTTGCATCCGTCCATCTCTGCATTTTTTGCACTGCAGAATGTGAAGATTTGAAACTTCTGATTGACTTACCCTTTTAAGAGGCATTGCTGATAATTTTATTCATTAAACAAAACACAGGCATTTTTCACTTGCACTTAAAAAAAAACACCTGAAGAATATGCTGTAAATTAATAATTTGTCAACAAAGGAAAAAAATCCCCAGTTGTAAATAGATATTTTAACCAGAATATGTAATGTCCCTTAAAATATAAGCCAATCATAAATCCCTCCTAATCTTAACATTCTTTATGTGGATTTAAAGCTAAATCGTCCTCCAGAACAGTTACAACTGACAATAGCACCAATCACCACTGCAGCACACATTTATACCTCTCAATAAAAAGACAGGTCAATTAAAATGGCAATTCTTATAAAATACGGGGAGTAAAAGGTCTCGTGACAAAATAAGATTATATCTAACAATTCTGGATCAAATACTGAACACTTCTAGACTTCGCAACTTTTCAATAATGTCCAAGCCGACACTCTCAAAAATGTAACATACAACAAGGACCCAATTATAATTTAAGATCCAGATTGGCATAAATCTGAATTTGTGCCAACTGAACTCACAAAAACTTCACAAAACACCACATCATTAAGATCATACAATGATCTTTTCCAGTGCAATTGCGTGGGCAGTAACAATGAAGGCAATGTACAATCAGGTTTGCATATCCATTGATGGGGGGAGAATCTTCGGACAAGAAAGAATTTGTCTGGATTGAAACACAGATAATGAGCTCGGAGTAATGCTCAAAGCAAACCCCTCGAAATAAATGAATCTCTGCACTTGTTGAATAAGATGTGGAACATTCAGAAACAGATGGTTCTATTTCACAAAGTTTATTTCCCTTCTTAATTGAAAAACTTTGCTCATTAGAATCTCTGCAAAGAAACAGTTGCAATTTGCTGTGCATCAGAATTAGGCATTTGTCTCAAACAGTACTACTTTGTATTTATTAGATCTGCAATACATATCAGCCATATTCAGATTTAATCCTGGCCTCCCTCTCTACTAGTTACCTCCCACTTAACGTAGGTAAAAGCATTCTGGCGACAATTTGACTGCTGACTGAAATGAAAATATACCCAAGTTTATATGTGTAGCTTTAGAAATGAACTAAATTAGCATTGAAAGAGGGAAGGACTCAAACTCTGCCCAGGCTGACGGAATGCAAGTCTGCACTGTAAATTAGCTGCAATCGTACGGTATAAAGTGAGATATTTGTGGGCTTGGGCTCCCAGCTCAGATAACTGCCTTCAATTAATTACTAACACGGCAAATTGGCAATCAGCCTCAAAAATATCACATGACTGAGGGTGTGGGATGCGTCAGAGTTATCACATGATGATTGGTGTAGGTTGTGGAAAAGGTCAAAGCTGGTGGTAATATTCCAGGTTGGAATTAGTCAGAGGGAGTGTGGCTCTGCTTTGAATGTGCTGGAAATGCTGATACCGACATGCTTCAGCCCGAACGTGTCCTATTAGCAGAAAATCCTTCATTTTGAGCACAGCATCAAGAGGTAGTACTGAATCAGTTACTACAAAAGTTAGCAAGATATAACTTGGGCAAGCCAAAAATTGCTCCCCAAAACAGGTTATGGAAACATTTTCATTCTGTGTTGCACAAGTAGGTAAGAGGCACTGTTATAGGTCTGAAAATCATGTATCTCACATTTCTAAGTCAATACAATTTTACTACGCATCCACGAAGATAATCTGCACTGAGAGTTTTGCTGTGAACTCTAGACTGGGCTGGCAGCAACTGAACTGATAATTCAGCAGATAAGGCCAAGAAAGTATGAGATGGAATCCAGTACACAAATGCAAGATATCTTACTGCTTCCTAATTTATCTGTGTAAGCCAAGAGGATGTTAGTATAGGAGAAATTATCTTTCTTTTCCCCTCCCCCTGCTTGAAGATGCTGACTCTTGCTGGAGTATGGTTCCAATAGACAGCAGTCACTCTTGGGTAGCTCATCCAAATAACCAGGCTGACTATTCCCTTATTCTAGCCAGTGGCATAGAGGCAAACTGTAGCAATACTGTAGCTGGCGGAGATCAGCTAAAATTACTTTTATATTACATATCCAGCAGTTCAGATTCTGGTCCCGCTGGGTTCGTTCACTGCATGTTCTTTGGCTGGGAGGCTGGGGTTGTACTTGTAGCACAACGACATCACGTAAAGTTACTTTCACAATCACAGCTTCCAGAAAAGTATAGGGGAACCAGGGAGATGCAGTTGAATATCAAGCGACTGCTTCCAGTCCTTTTCCTTTTTTGTTGTTGTTGTTGTTATTGGCAGTGATCTTAAAACTACACATTTAAAGGTTTTTCATGGGCAAAAATCACCTTGTCCTGTTGCTTCAGGGCTGCAGTTTCTCATTCCAGAGACATAAACAACTCACTGTGAACTCAGTCTCCAAGGAGGGTCTAGTGCAAGTATTAGGATATTGGAGCACTTTACAATTCCAGGCTGCCTTCAAAGGTGAGCTTGCCACTTCAGGCAAACTTATCATTAGGGTTGGAGGAAAGCTTATTTTTCTTATTTTCAACAGATAAAATAAACATCTCGCATTGAGGAAGATAGAAAAAAACACAACTGCAAATGAATCAAGACATCTTCTTAACAAATTAAAATATTGTTAAATGATTGTACTTACGATGTTGCTATGATGAGCCTTTGTCATCAAAAGCATTCGGCCAACCAAGTCAGTGGTGGAAACCCCCTGTGTACGTTTACATTCCCTGAAATGAATTAAAACATTGAACGTCAACGCTGTTCAGGTTCAGTTAAAATAGGTGGCTCAGCTAATGTCCGCTGCAAATCCAAGCAGCGGAACAAGAAAGGTGGACATCTTAGCTGTGAAAGGTCTAAAAAGAAATCAATTTTCACAGTGTCCAACTTTTGACTATTCAGATTTTACATCCATGTAGTATCGCAATAACTTTCATAAGACAGATCACGATCTCGTAATAAAAATGTTATTGCACTGTTTTTTGGCCTTCTTCTCTACTCCTGAAGGCAGTCTCTGGAAATGCCCTGGATTGCTGAAATTACCCTTCCCTCTCCCGAGGATAAGGATAATGGGATCGCTTGCGGAAATTGTCTAGGTCCGCAAGCAAGAACCTTTAGTCTGTTTGGCTCAACTGCGCCCCATTTAAGCCTGAAGTAATATTAAGGTCACCTGTATCTCCCTGCTGTCTTTACTTCTTCATAAGTATCTTTTCCATCAGCTGTCAAAGTAATATCATCTACAAAAACAAAAATGCCAAAAGAAAATGATAAAAAATGCCATCTGGATTGTGAGATTGTTTCAATTAAAGTTCATTGAGAGTCCATAATCGGATATACATTATGACCATGATCCAGTTTTGAATGAATAAAGAAGCTATTCTTCAATCTACATTACCTTCACATTTTCTGGGGGTCAGCTGGGTGTCTGACACATGCGGAAACCCATCACCATGTTAAACTTCACATAACGTACCTCCGTGGACACAAAAATCACAGTTGTATTTGTCCAGTGTTTCCAATGTTGTTACGTATGGTGCTCCCTCAATAACCTCATCAACCCACTTGATAGCACGGACCATCTTGTAACGCTCTTCCTGAGTAAACACAGGTGGGCCTTTGTGCTTGGCTATTTCTTCTAAGAACAGATGAAAAGGCTTCATTTATTATGGTTTGACTCCAGTATTTGTTGGTTAATATAGGAGAAAAGAAAACTCCTGTTATGATCACCAGGTGTGTTCTATTTCTGGTATTTCTGCTATTAAATGCATGTTTATCATTCTGTAAAGGTCACCTTCAGGAATTGTGCTATTCTAAATTGAACTATGAATGTGCTTCATAACAAGTTTCTTGAAATAAAGAGTTAAATGAATTGCTTTTTTTCTCAAGGGCCAAGTGACAGATTTGAATCCACTGTAGACACAATGTGAAACACAAACAGTGTCTTATTAACAAGGCATCCTTCTTGATAACGCCAACTGCCAAGGTCTGTCCAGATTAAATATTTATTTAAAGGCCTGTTATCACTTTGTCAGGGAGGCTGTATCCAGGGACATGCTACAAAGTACTGCATAAACACACAATGGCAATACTTTACGTTTAAAATGTATGTTGCAATGAAGCAATGACAGTACATGATTCAGGAAATCACCTTGCCTCCTTTGATTAAAAAAATATATTTTTCACAACTTTATCCTTTAAAATAAGCTTCCACTTCTGTTCCATTGGTGATGCAAGTCAAATTGACCTATGTAGAGTGCTAACCTGCTTTAGACAAAGTCAAAATAAAAGATGGTCATGTTCAAATCAATGATGCAGCCCAGTACATTTCATTGCTGCAGAATTGGCCTCAAAAGTCAACTTTCCACAAGTACAATCTAGACAATGGTACCTGGAAAAAGCAGGAAACTGAAGTGAAACTTCAAAGTTAAAAATTTAGCAATTTATAATGGCCAAAAAGTAAAGTTAAAAGAAAAAATAAGGGGGGAGCAGAGTGTAAGCATAGATAATGTTTTTGAAGTTGTTGACTTAGATTTGAAATTCCTGTATCATTTTTACTTTCATTAGAATGGGTTAAGTTTAAAATAACAGTAAAAACTTGCATTTGAGTAGATTTATTATCAGTAGTATTTTCCAGAGACAGTCCACTTGGCCCTCATAGGGGGAAAAAAAGCAATTTGTGTGCAACCAATGAATTTAACTGTTAATTTCAAGAGACCTGTTACGAGACACATCAACAGTTCAATTTACAAAAGCTCAATTCACAATACAGTATTTGTTACTTACCATCTGTGTGCACTCCCACAATGAGATAATCACCCATGGAACGTGCCTGCCTAAGCTGGTTCGAGTGACCATAATGGACCATATCATAGCTGAAAAATAAGAACCAATTGCTATAAAATTCAATATTTCCATTTCAAAAATATAAATGATTTTCAGCAATCACACTGACATACTGAACATTGTGTTTTATCTGGTTGAATCTGCAGATTTCTCCATGAATTCCTCAGTTTGCAAAAATCTCTGGGAGTGGGAGTAATCTTTTTGAAACCTTCAAAATAGAATGCTAATTCTACTCCTGTATTGTAGCCTTTCTCTCTCAAAGTCCAGCTGAGAATGATATAACAGTTTAATAGGATTTTCAAAAGACATTTGTTAAAATACCACACGCAGGGCTCATGGAATTAAGTAATTTAAACTCAAGTAAGCAAAGGTAAATGGTAAACGTAAGAGGGAGAGTGCATACTAGAATTAAACAGTGGCTTACACTGCATCCGTAGGCATTAATGCTATTTAGAAACAATGTAGATATGGTGATCTTGAGGAATATTACAGAATTTGTTCAAGGATAACAAGCTTCAAACATACACATATTTGAATATAAGTATATTTATAAATATAAGCTACATAAATTTATAATATATAAATATATTTATATATTTGTTTTGCCCACAAATATACAGTCATTTCACTTTACATCATATTTGGTGAAGCGCTTTGAGGAGTCTCGAAGATGTAAAAAAATCACTATCAAATGCAAGGATTATTATTTATATTATAAGCCACATATAATGAGAGACTGACAAAATTTTCAAAGAAATCTGTACCAGTTAGCTAAATCAAATTAGGCAGTTTATTGTGAATGAATTTGAACCATTGCAAACTTGGAAGAGAAGTATGAAGCATGTACAAAGGGCAAAGATACAAAAGGAAAGGGATTTGGGCATCATTTGTGATCATTCACAGAAACAGTGTACTCAATGAAAGACAGTTATTGACATAGTCAATCAATACCAGGATAGCATTTTGAGAGTATTTGATTCTAAATTGTGAGAAAGGTTATTCTAACTTTGAATAGACCATAATAGGACCACATTTGGAACACGGGGTAATATTTTGAGTATCTTAACAAGAGAGCATGAATTAATTGATTTCAAAGAGAAACGGAATGTTTCTCTGGCTTTAGTATCTCAAGTTATGAAAGTTAAAAAACTTTCAATTTCTAACTTTGCAAAAACTGGCAAACTTACAATATGATGGGTTAATCTAATACCACAGAGAATATAAAATCAAGTAAACAGTAACAAAAAACAATGTCTGCAAGGTAGATTCATTGGAAAATAAAGGAAGCCATAATCCAGACCTTTAAATTGCTGAAGGAAACAAAATAATTTTAAACAGCGCATTTAATTTAGATTGCAAATGAAAAACCAGAGAAGATACAAAATTAACATTTTTCCCCCATCCTAATTACTGAAATTGCACAAGAGGTACATTAATCCAAGTGAATCATCTTTCCTCAATGCTCGTTCTTCTTAAACTTGATGAATCTCCTGAGAAACCTTGCAATAAAATGTTGTGCAATTTGGTTTCCTTATCCACATCACCTCAATATAATTTTTTTCTCTCTTTCATTGTGGGATAATTGAACATGTGAGATAGTTAAGCAATCAAAATACTTATGAAATATTTGCCAATAGGCTTCATAGCACTAGTCACACAACAAAATCTCTCGTCTTCCTTCCTCTTCAATAATGAAAAGTTCCTTTGCCTTACTGCTGATATCCATCATTCTCATGGCATTAGGGAAATGACGATGATTAAAGAGAAAACACACAAATATAAATCCTTAGTACTATTAGTACTTAATTCACCCCCAAAATACTACAGCTCAATCATGAAAAACAGATAAAGTCTTCACAAAATTGTGTCTGGAGTATGGATGGGGCATGATCAAAATTTGTTCATATAGTTAAGCTTTCATTGCTTTCAGTTTTCATTCCTCTCTGAATGGGAGTTCAAATTAAAGACAAGCTGTATAAAATACTTGAAACAAAGGTCAACACAAATATTTTCAAGTTATGACAACAATGTCTCAGTCCAAAAGTCCAATCAGGATTTTCCTACATGTTGGATCAACAAGTGGCACCAATTAACAATAGGAATTTGTTCCAATCCTGGATTTGAGCCAATCTAAATCATGATTAGTACCCAAACAATTTGCTGTGCAGTTTTCCATCTTTTATACTTAACAATTAAATGCTTAAAATGATGGCAAGATGGATTTACAAATTCTACCAAGAGTAATAGGGTTGACTCAGCTCATATCCATTTTGCTTTATACCAATGTGACATACATATATACTGTATATATTACATATATGAGAACAATGCAAAAATCTTATTTTAACTTTCTGTGGAGACATAACAGCAACACAGTACCTTTTTACATATTTTGTATGTAAATCTTAATAAACTCAAGGAGGACCATACCTTGAACGTCCTTTCTAATCAAACAATACTAAATGATTGCATTTTGAAACGCACTTAATAATAATAATCCTTGCATTGAATATAGTGCTTTTCGCATCTTCTAAACGTCTCAAAGCGCTTTACAGAATAGACTGTAAAGTGAATTGACTGTATATTTGTGGGCGAAATGCGGCAGCAAATGGGGCACAGCTGTGTCCCACAAACAGTCGTGGATTGAAGCGACTAATTTATAATTGTTTTTTCTCTTGAGGGATTATTATCAGGCGTGTGGAGTAAGGAAACTTGCCCAAGGCTTCACCCTGTCGGGAATCGAACCCAGGTCTCTAGCTTGCAAAACGAGTGCTCTAATCACTGAGCTACAGGACTCCACTTGAATCGAGTTTACATGGAAGCTTCAAATGTGGTTCAGTGGCTTGATTACAAGTAACTTTATCTGACCTTAGAAAGCAGAATGGAGACGTCTATTTGTGGAAAGTTATATCACACAGACAAATGATAAATTATGAATGAAAGAAAAACTAGATAGTGGCAAAATAAATGTTCCTCTTTTACTAAACTCCTTTCAACATATTCCTCATATAGGCTATAAAAATGACACCCAATCAAATGGATGAAGACTCAAGATCTTTATAAGCTAGCACCAAAATAACTTCTCAAGCAGTCCAACTTATTTTTGGATCATTGCTCCACCTTAGTCATGATCCAGGTAGAACTTGATTCCATCTGTCTCAAGGCAAATAAACTGTGTGCTTTTCCAGTTTATATGACTATAAAGTGAAAGATAATTATGCTAATAACTTCAATCAACTAAGCACCAAACAGAAATGCTAACATATAGTCCTGCCCAAATCCTAAGGGACAAGCGTACCTTAATTGGTAGGCAACTATGGTAGGGGATGTAAAACTACTTCACTCCTAAGTAAATTCAAATTTTTAGGTGTTAAATGAGCTGCATTTCAGTGAAGGCTGGGTAGGAACGAAGGGAGGGAACAGTGTGTCTGGAAACTAGACTTTGAACAATAAAGTCATCATTTTTATGATATTTATTGAACAATTTCCTGAAATGTTTTATTGCTTAACAGTGTTATCAGGTGAGAGAAAAACACTATGTTGAAACAAGTGAATACAACACATTCCATTTCAGTTGCTTACATAGATTTTTGACATTGAATTTTGAGCATGAACTGTCTGCTTAGAAATATGGTTACAATTGTTAATGCTTTTGTATGAACGCAAAGCACACTGACAACAGTCACCTACACCAACAGTTGCTCCAAGCAAATAGATTTAAAAATAGTTATGTATAATGTATATTGTTTCAATTTTCTGAAGTTATTAGTCCTGACAAGGTAATCTAATCACAGGGTTTAGCATACGGTTGTAAACCATTCAAACTTTGCTCCTGTGGATTGACATGTCACCTGAACTCTGCTTGTTACAGTCTTAATCATACTTATGCATTCACTCTTATGGATTATTCTGCTATCTTCAAATGTACCAACACCTATGAGTCATGCCAAAATACTGTGGATTCAAAGGATCAATTTGGTTTAAGGAACAGATTTTGAGGAGGTTTGTACAACTGGTGCATAAGATATCTTTCTGACTTTTCAAAAATTCGCAGGTGAACCATCAGACCATTTTTATATTTTAATGTTATTGTCTGTCCAATAAGACAGCCTGCTCTTCAAAAATAATCTTGTGCAAGGGACCTTTGACAGTTTTTCTCATTAGAGACATTTAGTTGTTTATAATCGAAAACACAATTTCATTTAAGATACTTTGGAGGTCAACTTTTGCAAACTAGGAACAAACTGTCTATTTATATACATCATTCTGAGCTATTTTACTGCCAACCCTTCACAAGTTGGCTCTTGTAATTTATAGAATTATTAGGTTTTATGTCCATAAAATGTCATATTTCATAAAATGAAATGTCCATTTCTACAAGAGATAGTTTGATACATCACTGTTACATATAGGGCTCTAATATCCATGATGAAACTACATTTCATTTTTCTCTTATGTAGTGAAAATGTAATTAATCAATGTTAAAAACATTCACCTTTCAACTTACCTTCAGTATTACAATATATAATGAATGCATGGTCAGCTTTTATCTCATTTTATCAATCTCAGATACTTTAAACAACAAAAAAAGCCATACAAGGTAAAATTTCCAATTAATGCTACTTTGAGGCTAGGTAAAATTATAAGGGAATGCTTTTTTGAAGCTGATCTAGGAAGATCAATATCTGACACTTTAGCTGTGCTTTGAGATACCAGATCATAATGCGACATTCCTGTTGACACTGTACAAGTGATTCTTTCAGATTATGATACCATAGGAGTTGGAAGATGAAACATTCTACTATACTAGATGTTTAAATATGACACTTGTAATATTAAAATGTGCAGCAAGAGCTTTCCAGTAAATTATAAATGTCTAACAAACTAAAACAATATATAAATGCCTTTTACCAATGAATGTCTCAAAAGATGAATAATTGAGGATGTTGACCAAAAGCACCATCAAAGAGATGTTTTCAACAACAACTTTCATTTATATAGCACCCTTCAATTAGGAGAAAGAAAGTGAAACAAAATGTTTTGCAACAGAACTCAAGGAGGCAGGAGCAATAGTTGATGAAGGTTCATTAGCAAAATATTTCTTCCGAATATCTGCATTTAAATTACTGTTTGTATTTGGCATTTCACAGTAGGCATGTGAAGCACTTTGAGGCGTCCTTTCAACATGAAAACACCTAACACCCTACCCGTTCCCTCCGCTCAGCCGGCTCTGGCCTGCTCCACATTCCCCCGACTCACCCGCCCCTCACTGGTGGGGGAGCCTTCAGCCACTCTGCCCCCAATCTCTGGAATTCCATCCCCCAGTCACTCTGCCTCACCCCCTCCTTAGCCTCCTTCAAGTCCCGTCTCAAGACCTTCCTCTTCGACCATGCCATCGGCAATCCCCCTTCCCCTCCCCAACCCCAGCTCGAGTCTGAAATGCTGTACTCTGTCCAGCGCCTTGGGACGTCCTCCCGACGTGAAAGGCGCTATTACAAATGTAATCTCGTTGTTGCTGTGGTGGAAGTGAGAAATAACAACCTTTACACTTGCAAAAGTACAATCCTGTTTTTTTTGGCAGTGTCTCATTTTAACTGGTATAATCTCATGCAGCAACACGCACTTTCGCCGTTAGCCACATCGTTGCTCCGTCTGGTGAAACCACATTTTTACCATCACTGCCATTGCAAAACCTGTTTGGACCACGGTAACGTTTACAAGGTCGTTCTGGATGACGAAGATCCGTTTGATCTCACCCTTATTGCGCAAAGCAAAATGCCAAACCCACTTGGTTGGGTTTGATATGTGCGCCCTGTGAAGTCCCAAGATAGATGCTGACCTTCTTTCAGCACTTTAAACAGGAGTAACTCGCGGGATCGCTCAGCACTGATCAGCATCCAACAACCGGAGGGGGGGGGATTCAATTTGACACCCAAATCGGGGAGGCTGTCATCCTGTTGCCAGGGGTGACCGACAGGGGCTGGAGACTTGGGGGCCGGAATTTGCAGTTTCTGCACGAGTGCATGTTCTTTTTGGGGGAAATTTGAATGTTTCACGCTAAAATAACCTCCTATCCGACAGGCAAAGGAGGAAGCGATTTGTACTCATGTCAGGTAGGACATGTTTGCATTCACCTCACACACACCACATACACACACGCGTTACGCCCGCAAAATACACAGTCAGTTCACTTTACGGTCCATCCAGTCGAGCGCTTGTTGAGGAGTCTCAACGACGTGATAGGACACGATTTATTAGATCAAATGCAAGGAGTATCATCACACCGTTATTATTATTATTGTGATTATTAATAATAAACCCGAGAGATGAAGGCTTGGCTGACGCCTTTTGCGTGAAGGAAGAGCCGTGGGGGGAGTCTCGGCGTCTCCCTCTCCTTCCCCCGCTCTCCCAAGTCCCTCATTCCCTCTCCGGCCTGCGGGAGAGGCTCTCAACCGCGGCACATCCCTCCCTCCCTCCCCGCCCGCCCGCCCGGTGGGACAACTCACCAGCCATCGCACCAGACCCGCACCACCCGCTTCCTTTTCTCGGGCGAGCCGCAGTCGTAAGAGCCGACGCCGTTCTTGATCATCGCGGTGGCGCTGTCAGGAGCACACGGGCGTTTCGGTTAGAAAGGTTACAACCGATCGGTGTCGTACGTACGAACACGAACGAACGCAGGGCCGGCGTCGCGCGCGCGCGCGTCTCTTCCCCCCCACCCCGCGCTACCGCCGCCGCCGCCACTCACTGGCTCGCTCTCCGCGCGAGCTCTGCCGCCGAGCGCCGTGGAATGTGCTGGAAACGACCGGCCACCGCGGCTCGCGGCCAATCAGAGCTCGGCGCGTCGCACCTGCGCCCCGCCCCCTCGCTTCTCCCCCCCCTCTCCGCGCGACCACAACAGGAAATGACGTCAGAGGCGGACGGGGCGGGACGTCGACACAACCGATTGAAAACGGCGGGACAGCGTAACGTTGAGTCGTCTCACACCCCCCGCACCGCGTCGCTATATATCAAAATATATAATTCCCTCCCCCCCCCCTCTTCTATTCCCGGAACCCATACCAGGCTAAGCAAAGCCCGATAATGCTGATAAATAGGAGCAATAGTCGAGCGAAGGACGTGTCCGGGGGGCGCCCGGCGAACTTCACAAGGCCCCGGCGGCGTTTGTTCGTCACGTGGTGATGCCGCCGCCCCTTCCCCCCCCGCCCCCCGTGGTGACGTCGGGCGGGCGGACGGGCGATTGGCGGCGCGACTGACCTATCAGCGCGCTCGCTTCGGCGTCACGTGAGTTACCGGTCCAATCGGCTCGGAGTGGGCGGGATCACTGCGCCCGCGCGCTCCCGCCCGCCCACCCCCGGGCCAGTGGCGGGGGAGGGACAGCGAGAATGGAGAGAGAACAGGGCGCCAGATTCAAGCGAGTGAGTTGCCGCTCTGGTGCCGCCGCTCCAGACGCTTTAACATTACAGTCGTAACGGAACTGACACTGCCATTCACCCTTCACGTCATGGAGACGCCTCAAGGCGCTTCGCAGAATATACCGTAAAGTGAACCGACTGTGTACTTTTGTGTGAGCAATAGGTGTCAGTCAGGTCCGGCCCTCTCTCCTCTCCTCTGAGCTGAGTCGGAAGGTCTTGCGTTCAAGCCTCCACGTTAACGCTTGGGAGGCGCACCGTCTAAAGTGCCGCTCCAATGCAGGGCTGGGGGCGGGCGGGCGGTGCACTGTCACAGGTGCCCTCCTTCAGATGAGGGGTTAAACCGAAGTCCTGACTGCCTGTTCAGGCGGAATTTAAAGATCCCTCGGCACTGTTTGAAAAGAAAAGGGGGGTTTCTCTCCCAGTGTCCCGGCCAACAATCCCCCAAATAGAATTGGTCTTGCCGTTTGTGGGACATTGCTGTGTGCAAACCGTCGTGTTGCGCCCACAAAATACACAGTCAATCTAATTTCCGGTGTATGCTGTGAAGTGCTTTGAGATGTCTCGGACAATGTGATAAGGCACTATCAAAGACGAGGATTAATGATTGTTTCTGTTTGTTACAAGATTCACTCAGCCATGTCTTGCTGAGATGATGCACTTGCAGAGGGTAAGGCTAACTGTGCTGTGTTATCTGTTTCAGGAGCTGATAAACAAACTGCTTCACTTCTATTTTAAAGATCCCAAAACCAAAAGTAAGGGTTGCATGAGAACCAGTACAGTATTCTCAGTTGAAATGTACAGATCTAACAGCCAATTTGTCTATTGCAGGTTTTACTAGTAGTTGCATAATTCACTCAGTTGTAAGATCTGAGTAATCTGAATATCTGTTTATAAGGTACTTCATCCTCTCCCAAGCGTCACTAAATTCTAAGATGAGTTGATTTATTCTGTGTTGATTACGTAGACTGTAGTGAGATATTGTCAGGCAGTCCTCTTCCACATAAGGTGTGTAATCCATCAGCTCATTCAAACCTGGAGGAGCAAGGCCTGCGAGAGATCATGCTCCCTGTAAACTATTACCCTGTGGAATTAATAAAAAAGCTTTTGTTTTTTCTGCTCTCTGGGACTATGTCCGAAAAAGGTTTTGATTTGCTTTTCTTTCCTTTAACACTCTCTTTAAAATCAATCGATTAACATCCTAATACCGGCCCCAGTCCCCTCCTCCCACTTTGCTCAATGATTCACACTGTCGCTGCGAAACACATTGAGACCTTAACCGACATGTAAGTGCAAGTTGTCCTGTTTCATGAAGAAGGCAATCTGCAGTATCATACTAACACAATACTACTTTTCTATTTGTTTGCAGTTAACAGCGACGCTGTCCTTATTATGTCTGAAATGCTGAAAATCTTTGTCGTAGGTAAGCATTGTTTGAGTCGCCTCAAAGCAGTCTTGAGAGGCTACATGCCTCCTCCTTTCAGTATTCAGCGCCTTGGGATGTCCTGATGTATACAAATGCGCTATACAAATGCAATTTGTTGTTCCTTTTTGAGCTGAGGACTGACAGTGTGTTCCAGCATTGGCTGGGATGGGAATGGCTTTCATACAGAGTATCAACTGCACAATACAGGACAACAAACTATGATATTTTTACACAAGTTGATATGTGGCTAATTGAAGGCGAGGTGAAGCTTGTACTTCAGCATCACCTACTGGCTGTCAGAGGCTATGCATTGCCAGGAAAGCTTACCAGGAAATACCTTTTTGAACATAGAATGATAAAGATGGTTGCAGCACAGAAACAGGCCATTGGGACCAACCAACTTGATGTTGTAATGGGAAGAGAGGAGGGTGGGTATTCTGGAACTATGAGCTGAAATGGACTGAAGGGCCTTCTTTATCCGAGCTTGTGATCCATGTGACTGTGTAAGTTCAAGTGAGTTCCAGTCCAAGCCAGGTTGCACGTTTGCACCCATAATCGGCCATCTGTGCAGTTGTGAAAGCGTGCGTTTCGGTAGTCGGATGCAACGCAGCACTTCCGAGTGACCAGATAAAGAGCTGGAACCAGAATTAAAAACATCTCATTATTCAGTGCAAATATGAGGTCTACATGTTACAGACTGTTACAGGGGGAATGTTACATTGTGGCTGTTTCATCAATAATATTTAAAAAGCTTAACCAGTTCTCCAAAATGTGGATAGCTTCTACCATGTATGAGCCAAGCTGAGCATCCCAACCTGACATTTCGTCCCATTTGGTTTGTTCGTACTGAGTCCAAAGAACAGTTTCCCCGAAATCAAGATTAAATGGAAGTCCCAGCTTGGGCACAGGCTTCTTGAGTTATCTGAAGAGAGTTGCCACTCTTGCATTGTAAATAATCCTTAAAGAAAAGTCACTCAATCCACTACTGTTTATGGGACACTGCTGTGCACCAATTGGCTGCCACGTTTCGCCCACTTTTCAATATATCTGTGAAGCACTTTGAGACGTCTCAACAAGGGGACAAAGCGCAATATCACGTGCAAGGATTATTATCACTATTAAAATGACTGACTGCTCCAGTTTGGGAAAAGGGGGAGGTGGAGGAGAATTTCCACCTCATTCAAAAGGACGGGCAAACCAAGACACTATTGGTGCTAATTCTTTGTTCTTATACAAAATCACCAGAGGCAGCAGTAAGAGCATGCAAACAAGCAACAACCGAGGATTTGGAATGCGTGGACATTGAACATTTTGAGAAGATCTTACCCCAACTGGTAGGTAACACTGAATCCCGAGACTTGCCCAGAGGGAGATGGGCAAATGCAGTCACTTTTGCGCGCTGCATTTTGCTAGATGAGCAGCCCTGTAAACAACACAACACTGCTTGTCTCTCAGTACGTGGTTACATTTTAAGTGCACACTTATCAGGGCAGCCAGTGCTACTGGCATAGATCATAATTAGCAAACATTTATTTCCTGTGTGACAGTTAAAATCAGACACTCAGTCTCAAAACATCCCATTAGATACCACAGCATTACACAAAAGTGCCTGAGCACGCTTTCACCACGGTACAGCAGAAATATTTTCAGGCTTTAAAAATAAAACATTTCCAGAGTAAATACTTCACTAAGTATTTCCCACCAATATCCAATGACGCAGAGACAGGATGAATTGGGATGTTCAAAAGGGAATAGACACTTAAGAAGTAAGAGTGTCAAGTGGTTATGTAGAAAATGAAGGGAAATAGCATTAACAGTTGCCTTGGTGTAAGAAGCTGGAGGAAAGGCTCGATGGCTGAATGGCCTCTTTCCTGTTACCCCAAGTTAGGCCGATTAGCGGAGTTAATAGAAACATTTGTTTTGGTGTAAAGATAGAAAAATGTAGAGTCAGGCGTTTACGACCCGAGTCACTATCTGTGGTATCACACGTCTGGTTTGATAACTGACAGAAAACTGCTGAAGGACCTTTGGTTTGTGTGTTGCTCAGGAGAGTGGTCTTATGACCACATGGTGGCAGCAGATATCCAGTTTGCTGGCGTCTTGCATTAGGTACATAAAGGCAGCCCACGTTTATCACAACAACTTGCACTTATATAACGTCCTCTACGCAGGAATAGCGTCTCAGAGCGCTTAAGAGTGGCGGAGCCTGACTCTGAGCCAGGGGGAGGTGGAAGCACGGTCGAAGAGGAAAGTTTTCAGGCAGAGAGAGGGTGCAAGATGGAGGGATTGACGGAGAGCGTTCCAGAGTTTTGGGGCGTAGTGGCTGAAACTATGTCCTCCGATGGTGGGGCGGAGGGTGTGAGGGACGAACAGGATGCCGGTGCCAGTTGAGAGGAGGTGCCGAGTGGTGGATTGGGGAGTGAGGAGGTAGGGAGGTGCCAGCGAGTATATGCCCATACTTAGACTTCTGTCCAAAACTTGTATTATTATTGGATTAACATGGATCCAGTACTTGTTTTATTGTATCCAATCTAATAACTCAGTGGTTATGGAGTTATTAGAATGAGGCAGCATTCATTGGCTATTTACGATTTGGACAATTGATCCATGAGGTAGAGCAGATATAGATTTAAATTCCACAATTGGAACGTTGCTTTATGTTAGCGATATTTGTTATGTCCATGATATATGCCCACACTTAGATTCTGTCCAAAACTGAAGCAATAATTCTCGGCACAGAATTGGTGTGAACTGTTGTTTTACTGAATCGCACATAATCGCAGGAGATAGGTTAATGCCAGGCTCTGGACGCATTTGGAATTCTATGAAACTTTTCCTCTTATTCTCTACAGCTTTTGGATTTCTAGGACGCTTTCGAATAGATGCTGCCTTTAAGCTCCTGCTCATCAAAAGTTAACATTAAAAGAATGGATTTGCAGAGAAACATGCTCAAATGGTTAGCCACCTGCAAGCGAATCCTCCTCCTAACTGCCTAAAGTCTGCTTGTTCATATTGTTTATATTGTTAGTATTTAAATACTTCACATTGTGCATGTTTTCATTGTAACTTTTTGTTACAGCAAATGTATTAATTATTTCTGTATATTTAACAAAAGGACATATGTTTTGACTGTAAATTTAATTGAACATTTGAAATAAACCTTTTGTAGATTTCTGGGAGCATCAACTGAATGAAAGCTGGTCAAGTGTGAAATGCACAGTTTTAACCTACTGTATTAACTCACTCCTTTTGCTCGAGCACAAGGTCCTGAAAGTTGGTTCACTTTCGCATGAGGTTAGATTCACTATGAAGCAGTTTGTGTGGGTGAAGGCGATGTCTCATTACACTGCGAGGTTGAGATTTTTTCACAAAGTCAAAGAACCTCATTGGGGAAACTGTCTTCAGGTCAGGACACTTGTGGAGCATTTATAATGGACAGATTCTCAATCTAAGTTTGTGCTGTCAAATTTGATAAATACTCATTGATGAGTTCCTCATAATCTCAGTGGGGGGGGGGGGTCAGACAGTAGCATGAGTTCAAAGATTTTGGAGCTAGGGGAAGTAACATGCAGCATTTGGCAACAGCTAAACTACATCCGATCCAAAATATTCAGTCAAGCATAGATGACATTTAACAATTAGGCTTTCACCAAGTCTAGCCTTGCTGGAATCATGCAATATTCCGTTACTACACTACTCGCGGTCGCAGGAGAAGGAGAAAGACCAGCACATTGACCTTCCTATCCTGTTTGTTCCTCATTAGACGAGGATAGGGATTAACCCTGAGCAGTAAAAAATAAGACTATTTGGAATCGGGCAACACTTTGTTGAAAGAGATTGGAATCTAATAAGCACTCCACGACACTCCCTGCGTGGAGGGCACTATATAAGTGCAAATCGTTGTTGTAATACTTGTGATTTTTTTTAAAAGTCACACAAATGGGGTCTGCTCCCAGTAACCTGGATATCATAGTGACCCCGGGGAAAATCCACTCTCAGTAAGTGTGGAGGTTCCTGTGGGTCACTGGCTATTCAAACTGGATTCCTTATCAATGAACCACACTACCAACACCACCACAACTATTTAGACCTTATTGGTCACTTCTAATCTCTGGTCTGTGCAGCAGCAACCGCAAGTTAATGTGCTTTTTTTTTGTAAATGCCGAAATAATTAGCAAATTTCATTGGCCTCTCCCCACACACAGCCACTTTGAAAAAATCCCAGGAACCACGGGAGGAAGACCAAAAAATATTAGTTCCGCTGAACAATATTGAATCATCGTCTGGTGGAAAATTCACCAACGCTGTCTACAGTATATATTGACCTGGAAAGGCATGGTATTGGGTGAACGCTGTGTACTCTTGACTACCCCAACGCTTTCCCTCTGTCCTTGGTTCTGATGAGCATGTGTTATGGGGACATCTACAAGGAATTAATGTATACACATCTATATTGGCCGATTGAATTGATTTCATATTTGCTCACTGTTGGACGTTCAATCTCAAACTAATCCTTACACCGCCCTTCTGAGCCTATCTACGTTTTACTCCAGCGATTAATCTTTAAAAAGAACAAAAAATGCTCGATAAGCAGAATCCCTTTGACCGGCCCAGTCTGACGGTGGTAGGCAGTAGGTACAATTAATCTCCTGTTTGCTATTATTGGCCTTGAATTTGCAACCATTTAGTTGCAGCTATCCTCCTGTTGCATGGTTTACACTGCACGCCATTGCTAAAATGAATCACAGATGTAACATTTTACAGATGGTCTGAAGAGAAAAGATCAGGCCTGTGCAACAAACAACATCAAAGTTAGTTAATCCACACCCTTTAATGCATACCTGGTTTTGTGTTAGAGACAAGCCCAGGGTAGCTAAAGAAACGAAGCACTCCAAAGACAGATTTAAAGCCCATTAAAACGACCCAATATTTAAACGGTTCAGGCAAATGACTGGATCATGTCCTTCCACTTAAAGGCTCGGTTCGAATCTTGCCAGAATGAGATTTAACAGTGTTGGGCTCTTACTCAATGGTGTATTAAATATGGGGGCTTGAGAATTGGGGGGAGATGTGATAACTTTATTGGGCCACGTGAAAGATTGCCACATGTGTAACCTGTGCTGTAGATGTGGTCACCTCATGGTGGTTCAACAAAGGCAGATGTTTTATCCTAACCAATAGAGAGAAACATTCAGGCTTCCCTTCCCATCTTTTATCCTAAATAAATCCCTTAATAATAATAAAAAATAGACCTTAAAAATAACAGGTGTATTTTCCACCTTAATGTGCACGGCTCAGTTTTTCTCACTAAATTACAACGCTAAACTCTTCAGCAGAAAAATTAATGTAAAGTCACAGAAATTGATTCTTGTACTCCAAAACCCAGTGCATTAGGCGCTCTTAAGTGTTACAAGAACTTATCAAAAAACATCTCATACCGACTTAAAATGTCCCATTCCACGTGGAAAGAGGAATAGATCCGTTTGGCAGCGGTTTAAGCGTGGAGACAGTTAAAGTTGCCTTGATGCACCCTTGCTCACTCTCTCTTTCTTCCACCCCACACACACCCTCAGATTGCACATGGTGACAGGTGCTTTGAGTGCGCACACACACACACACACACGCATGCACGCCACTTCAAAGCCTTGCAAAGCAGTTGGGAGTAATTAGACCTCGGGGGGAGGAGGAAAGAGACAAGCAAACTTGCAAGACAATGACAAGTGCCAGGAACACAAGAGGGTTCTCCTGAACCACTTTGAAGTTCAGTCAGCTGGACTGAAGCGGCGCTTGGTTTAGAAACATATGTCAGGCTTCAGTGAAAGGACCACACGGGTAGAGGTGAAGGAGGCAGGCAGCACGTTTGTAAAACTACGTAAAGGGTGGCAAAATCTCTGGAGAATCATTTTTAAAAAAAGAGTTGATCCACTTTGTACTCGAGATACACAAGTCAAACAACCCACTTTGTTTACAAAGATCTTGGAAGTCTATGATTTAAGTGAATATTTTTTTATTAAGAGTCAGGATGAAAACTTTCAACTTGTGAATCTGGGTCACACACTAAAAATAACAACCCATTCCCCTTTTATTTTGTTCTCTTTCACATGTGCTGTTGCTGAACAGATTCCCTTAAATGTCCATTGGAGTGCCATTGAGTTATACTAATAATACCATAAAAAACTGATAAAGTAAATGAATGTCGCTTAAACTGGCAGACAGATATAAGAGAAATGAGGGGGAAGTCAAGACTTGGATGACTCTTCTTGGTAACCCGTTCCAGTCATTAACTTTCACATATAAGGGAGTTAGGCAATTAGAACGGGTTACCAGGGAAGGTTAGTTAAGCACAGGAAACTGGGATTCATTCACCAAACAGCTGAGATCAAAGAGGACCTTCCTCATCCAAACCTTGCGTGACCTTTTTTTGGTTAGCTGGGTGTCTGACACAAGTGGAAACCCATTATCGTGCTTAAGAGTATCCAAACCAAACTGAGAATTTCCATGCACCCCACCTGCACATGGAAATTCCAGAGATAGATTGTGGAATGGAGCGCGCATTCTCTCTCTCCCTGGTGGGTCGCACCCTGCTAACCTAATCCGTAATCTTGCGAGAGAATTGTTCGAAAGAAAGTAGGATAAGCTACCGGAGAAGAGAAATCGTCGAGGGTTCGGAGAAAGAGAGAGAAGGAAAGAAGAATTAATACAAAGGGAGATTTGGAAAAATAACTAGTTTGGCACAGACCCAACGAGTCACATGGCCTCCTTCTCTGTTGAAAGTGACTCCCTTTTCTATGTCAATGTAAAATGAACAATCAATTCATAGGTTCACTCAAAAGTTGGTCTGCCCCCCTTCCGATTGCTTTGATGTTTATTTTCTTTAATAATCTTGGCGTATTTTTATAACTCTTTGAATAACTGTGCAGCTTTCCAAATAACTCTCCGGCAATAATAACATGTGTGAAAGGAGTTATGTAAATGAATTCATTTTGATCCGATGTTATGTTTAGTCAGAACATGTGGAAGCTCCTAATTTCATCTGACAATGATTTGATGACATCCTGGGACGGAGTGATTAATGTTCATTTTGAAAAACGTTTACTTCACCAAGTTCACTTTGAAACAGAATACAGCCCTAATACACTTTATTCTCTTTGATCTCCTCTTTGACTCCCGCAGTCAAAAATTCTATATTTTCATTTATTTAACTTATTATTCATGTTTTTATTAAATTAAAAAAACATTTCCATTTGGTTTCCAAATTACTGATCGCTGACTGTGAAACGGCACGACAGTCTTATTCAACGTGTTCCAGCAATGTGCATTTCTACAGCTCCTTTCATGTAAAAGGCCTTATCTAAGCGATTCCCAGAATGAGCTTCGCATGCACCTCAAATGCTGCACCTACTGTGACCAAACAACCTCCTATTTGATGAGGTGCCACCATTTCGATCTCAATTTGTGGGGGAAACGCGACAGCTAATTGCGCACAGCAGTGTCCCACAAACAGTTGTGGATTGAGTGACCAAATTATTATTTTTTTTTATATAAAAAGGGTTTATTACCCCTGAAAAGCGATCCGCCAATTGCCGAATAACAGTGTGGAGTAAACCTAAGGTTTCACTCTGCCCGGGAATCAAACCTGGGTCCTCTCGCTTGTGAGGCAAGCACTCTAACCAGTAAGCTACAGGACTCCGTATGCATGTATCCCTGTAATATATATTTTTAAAATCTTCAAACAATATTCCCCCAACAAAAAAAGGAATGAATGCTCCACTATCAGAGTTCATTTGTGGCAAATTTTCCTCCAGATTTTATTGTAAATCACCCGCTAGTCTCGAGCCAATTTTGAACACGATTAATGCCCTCTGAACCCATACCGTTCAAACAACCTCTGAAGCAAAAACAAAGTCATAAGTGAAATGCACATTTCACAAATCAGAAACAAAGCAAAATATTTGCTTTCAACCCTTTGAAGTTTCTATTTAACCGTAGAGAGCTTGTTCCGTTCCTCCTCCTAACGCTTTCCTATAATGCAAAGAGAGAGAGAGAAAAACAAATCAATTAGCAAAAACCCTGGCAGTGCTGTAAATGACCTGGTTACATACAGTTAGAATGACAATAAAGGTTTAATAACTCAGCTTCAAATTCAATAATTTCTGGCGTGTGTATCCAGGACAAATAAAGTCAGCCTACACACGTTTCATTTTCTTTTGATACTAAATAATAAAAAATAATCTTTGCCACTTAACACCTCGAATGATCATGTGTAGTGACTGTATTTGTAGGCATTTTGCGCGCTGTGAGGTCCCGTGAAGTGGATGAATCTGGGGGATTGATGGCCAGGACGGTGGTGGTGGGGGGGGATGATGGGGAAGGAATCCCTTCTGTTTTCGTCGTGATCTAATAGAATGGCGGCAAAGGCTCGAGGGCTGAATGGCCTCCTCCTGTTCCTATGGCACTGGGGCTTCAATGCACAAGCCAGCGGTAGGAGCACACCTGACTAGAGCCAAGTCAAATGTTGGTCAATCGCCATTCTTTGGGTTTACTATTAAATTACACAAACCGTTTCCTGACATCAGGATATATTAAACAATACGTTGTATTGGATAACAGCTGGAGCTGAACAACACAACCCTTTGTCCCTACAAGGATGACCCGAAGATTTCATGTGGTTCGAGTTGCCTGGCAATCGACGGAGGAAGAGTTTATTATGACCGTGAGCTAAACATTTCCTTTAGTCGTTCGGGTCGCTCTTGCCCAGTTCATCGCCATTCAATGTCAATGTTCAACTTCGGAATTTGCAAAGCTATCCTTTCAATTGTGCGTATGTTTGCGCATGTGTGTGTGTGCGTGTGGGGAGGGGGGGGGAAACAGTGTGGAGGAAGGTTCAAAAGGCTTTGTTTACAACAAAATGTGACAGCCGCGCTCTCCTTTTAGTACAAAGGTCAGGAAACACAAAAGGAAACACTCTGCAATTTTGTGGGTTGAAAGACGATATACTCAAGAAAGTTAATTAGGCCAATTTTGTAACTTAAAGTCATTTCGCTATGTGTGCCTCCACAACATGGCTTGTGGTTCCGGCTTATTTGTAATGCAATTTGCAGTCGTTTTTCCAATTCCTAAAAATTGCCACATTCTTTTTGACTAATTGTCATGTTTTACTGATAACTTCATCAGGGCAGAGTTCAGGAAATCCAGGGAAGCGAGAAGGTTGGGGTGGGGGGTTTGCTCTCCATATTGCCATCTTGCCCACAAGAAGGGAAATAGGACAAGGAAGAAAAGAGAGAATGATGTAGAAATCCTTTCCGTGGGTCTTTAAGAATAATTCTAAATGTGTAACAGCCGTTGAGGTATTCTCAAGGCAAGGCACTGTTCGGTTTTGTGACGATTTGTGTCTTGATCCATCGCACTAATTGGGACGGAGTCTATCGTGGATATGAAAGCAGTTTAGATATCAGGTCTCCATGTGTTTGTGTGTATCTCTTTGTGCATCTTAACCTGGGTTATGTGTGTGTCTCTCTCATTCATTTACTCTCTGTATGTATAGTTACATCTCAGGCAACTAAACATTTTCACCAAAATCACAGCCCAACTTAACTTCCGCATTGGAGCCTTGACATGGAGAAAGCGGGGTGTGCGTTATCTGGCGTGTAGATACACGGGACTGATGTAAAGTTAAAGAGCCGGACAGGGTTACTCTAAAATAATAAAAAGAGCTCAACCTACCGGGCAGCTTGAGCCATTTGGGAACTTTACTGATGTTATTGTTATGTCGAACCCCAGAATGTGCCGTTAGTTCTGTCTCTGGCATTCCCTCTTCTCCCCCATCCTCAGCAGTTGTTTCAAGCTGTGCTTCCGAAACTGGTGAGATAGTGGTAGGGGCTGTAGCTCGGGGACAAGAGCTGAAGAAGAAAGGCAGAGAAGCAAATCAGTAGAAAACACACATAACACAGACATCACTTTCAGACCCACGTGACCTAACCACCAGAAACAAAGGGGATGCTGTGACCCAGAGCTGATCACAGAGTCTCAAAGCTCCGGGGGTGAAATCAAAAAGACAAAAGCCAGTGCGTTAATCACAAATGGCTTCCTGTTCACTCCCGCTTTCCTCAGCTGCCCGGCTTGCTCTAGTTGACCTGCCATGACACCACACTCACGGTTGAGGAGGTTCGTGGAGGTGGAGAGAGATCACGAGCCGGGTGGGTGGGGGGTGGGGGGGGGCGGGATTTGGGATGAAGCTGCAGGCGGAGGTGTTGTGGCCATTGATAACACAGCAGCAAGACTCTTCCTCATCACAGGAGAATGACGACACTCTGGCCTGTTTATTGTGAGCATAGGTTTGGTTAACAAAACTGCTCTATCCTGCAGGGACAGAGGGAGAATCTGGCTGCCTTGAACCAGCTTTCCGGGCTCCGACAGAACACAGGCAACCTTAGTCAAGGTTAGGAGCAGGAGATGGAGCAGAGGTTCTGAGGATTTAACAGCTGACAGTCCTCGCTCATCATAATCTGAGACCACAAGGAAACCATTTTACACTACATGGTGGACAGCTACTTGATTACGTCAGCAGATAGACGGTTATGCTGTTGCCAATGAAACACTTCCCTTTTTATCTCCCAGTGTCAGTACAGAGCACTCCCAGGTCAAGAGTTTAATGTCCAATCCAGAACATTGTGATCTCCTGACTGAAAGCTTGGCATGAATATTCCCGGTCAGTTAGGGAGAGTTAACGCAGGGACCAGGGGCCCCAAAATTCCACCTAGTCTGAGCCCATGAGACCGTTTTGCCTTAAAAACTAAGGTCAGGCAGCATCATGGAAAAACGTTTAAATTCAGCCTTAGTTTGGAAACCGACCAGGTCTTTTTAAGAGAAAGCAGGAAACCGCCTCCCAAATTTAGTCCGCGTTTAAGAATTCTGAACAATTTAAATTTTAAGACGAAACAGTCCCGCAGTCTAAAATGGGTGAAATTTCCTGCTTCTGGGCATCAATCTGTTTTTTTTGCCGAATGTACAAACCTGGCTACGGTGACGTTTGCCTGGGAAATGGCAGCTGGGGACTCTAGGAACTCCTCGCTGATGTAGCAATCTAGACAGCAGAGAACAAAACTCAGGCTCAATGTTTCATTAAAAGGACACGAGGCCTCACAGGAAATGAAGTGGCATTTTTATTGACTAATGATGCAGCCATTTTGGGGCACCAAGGACCCAGGAGGTGAAATGACCCAACTAATCTGGGGCACAGTTGACAAGACGCCGGGAGAAACTCACTTCTCTTTTTGAGGAGCCTAATGGGATCTTTCAGCATCTCCACTGATTGCATCTCCACTGATTTCTTTAACCCACATCCACAGCCAGAGGCGAGGGCTCCACCACCCAGTCAGGGTGTGCAGGTTGGTTAAGCGCAAGATAATAATAATAATCATAATCCTTGCATTTGATATAGCACTTTATCACATCTTTGAGACACCTCAAAGCCCATAAAATAGCCATGGTATGAGTGACCAATTTTATTTGGGAGATTGTTGGCCAGCACACCAGGAGAGAGAAACTCCCTTCTCTTTTCAAATAGCGCCTTGTAACGTCCACCTGAACAGGCAGACGGGACTTTAGTTTAACATCTCACCCGAAGGTGAACACCAAGTAGCTAAGAACTGAGGGAGGAGAAAGAAACAGGGATTTATTCGGATCCCTTTATCTTAACCTCTGCCCTTGAACAAAACGGTGACAGGTGGGAAACAAATGTGGCCGAAATGGGCGGCCTATCCAGGGATAGCAAAGGACATTTACTAAAACCCAAATCACTGAAAGACTAACTTGAACGAATAAAAAGAAGTGGGATTATGTTACTCACCCGTTCTGACTTCAGAGCCAAAGTGGACAAGAGAGGCAGGAAACAAGTTTGCCTGAAGCAAAAAGAACAAAGAACAGGGATGAAACTCCACAGGTGGCCATCATTATGCTCCGTGTCTTCAGTCAGCTCACAATCCACCGTCCTGAGCTGCAGCCACGAGGCAAATACGGAGCAGGTTTTCTCTTCAATTACCACAGTCTCTGAGTGTCGCCCTTCGCTCACTAACACTGTCCACAGACGACAAGCCACCGTTGGGGTGTTTGAGTTTAGTTTTGTTGAGCGAAGAGCATGAATAATAATAATAATCCTTGCATTTGATACAACGCCTTATCTCGGTGCTGAGACGTCTCAAAGCACTTCACAGAATATACTGTAAAGGGAATTGATTGTATAATTTTGTGGGCGATGGGGGTGGGGGGCTGGAGGGTTGATGGCAGGGGAAGAATAAAAGGGTCCGGGGCAAGCGGGTAGGAGAGATGATCAGAACTGGAGAAAGAGCAGAAGTGCTGATGTGATGGTTTCTGTGCAGTAACGTTCTCAACTTCTAATGCAGAAATGCAGAAGACACTGACTGGTGGGTGCAGCTCAACAGAGAAGAACTTTACTACAAACTCTTATTAACAGTATCTCTCGCCTTGACACCACTCCATCCTCACAGAAACACTCTTCCTCTGGAACACTCTTCTTCAATCGCTCCACCTTGCACCCCCCACCCACTCCCCCTTTTTCAAGTCCCGCCTGAAGACCTTCTTCTTCGACCGTGCTTACGGCCACCTCCCCCCTCCCCCCGGAGTCAGGCTCCGCCACTGTTAATCGCTCTGAGACGCTACCCTGCGTGGAGGGCGCTATATACGGGCAAGTTGTTGTATCTCAGACTGTGATAAGAAGCATCTGGTTGAAAGACAATTTGAACAACGAGCTGAAACGGGAAGCAAATCCATGCACACGGAGCCAGACTCTGCAGAGGTTAGTCGGTGTTCTGAAATCGTGAGCCTACATATTCCTGGCCCCTCTCCCTCTGGCCCCCCCACCACCCCCTCCATCCACCTCTGGTCCTGCACCAACTAAAGCAGTGATGGTTGGTGTATGGGCTGCTCTCAGCTCTTCTGATTGTAAACCAGTTGCTAAGTGCAGGAGCGCCGCCTAGTGGACAATCTCCCTTCTTCCATGTGGGTCCTTACCCGAGACCCAAAACACATCAGCCTCGACCCCCCAACGCTTTAAAATTCCAAACACCATCGGACAGAGTTGTGCACAATTCTTCAATTCGATTGTCAATCCCTCCTTTTAAGGATTGTGGAAGATCCACCACTTCCAAACACGAACTGGGGTGAGGGAATTTTCCAAAATTCTCTGCGGTGTTACATTTAAAAGCAACGGATGGTCCTCAGGCGAAGACCATGGGAAATTCCAATAAATATCTCTGGAATTTCCATGCGGAGGCGGGATGCACGGAACTCTATGTTTGGTTTGGATACTCTTAAGCATGGTGAGGGGTTTGTGGACGCACCAGAACCCGCCCCCCCCACCACCCAAAAAAAAATCTATTTCAGACCATATGTCTCTTCTCAACTCCTCCCAACATCAACAAGGGTTAGATCCAGGACTAAATGGGAGGAGAGAGGGAGAGAGAGGAGAGGGAGAGAGAGAGAGAGAGAGAGAGAGAGTGAATGATTCTGAACATGAAACCACGTCTCCACACCACAGTTAAGACTCACAATATCAGGCATATGCACACAAGAGTTGCCCCAGCCTCTGACTTGTATCTCACAACATGAAGGATGATATAACCCAGATCCTCTGAGCAGTCACGATCAAACATTCTGCTGCTGCTTACATCTGTTTCATAAACCTGATTCGCAGCATCCAGGCTCCCACTTAACTGCAGTGTCTTGCATTGATTTTTTTTTATTCTTAAACCTCGCCTGTAACGTCAGCGTGGCTGTCCCTGCCTCATGTTGCTCAGCTCTGACCACTGCTTCACTGAACCGCTGGGATCAGAAGGGCAGAGGAGAGTGTCAACGGGCAATAACTCACACACGGGGTAGTCACGCTTCAGTGGGAAGAAAACCACAAGGATCTTCAGGATGATCTGAGAGGCCGGTGAGCTCCTGTCAGTATATATCAAGCACGACACGCCGAGACGACTTTCTAACTTCAAAAGTGGAAAAAACTTTCTTTTAGCAAATCCGCCTCCGACTCCATACACACACACATCAAAATACAAAGCCTCAACTCTCAGCATCAAGACAAAAATTCTTCAACTCTGACTCAATTTGGGAGCTGGCTTGTCCCAAATTCTTACAAAAGGAGCTGGCTTCCAAATTGATTCAAATGAGGAATGACAGAATTTTCCCCAATTCAACGTAATTTTTGAATGTTGAGAAAAAAAAACAACCTTTACAGGCTAAGACAAGGTGGGATTTCATCCCTCGAAGACTGATGTATCTTCCGAACACTTGAGTGCTATGCTCATCGGAAATAGTTTCTTGTGTGTTTCTTAAGCACGAAAATCCCGCTCAGGAAATGCCACAAACTGCCAGGTAGCAATCAGTCCCCGGATTGGCCATCCCTCATTAACAAGCGTTTCCTGCCTGTCGGTTCCCACGCATTTCTCTGCTGCCAGTTTGGCAGTAGGAAGCGGTGCAGCGAGAGGGATTGATAAGCAGCAGGTTTCAGGCACATCAGCGAGTGGACAGCGCGATAACACTGCATTGTTTTGGAGCGAGCGGACACGGGCAGAAATCAACGGGAGGCCGACGGGCAGTTCGTGAACTTTTGGGATTTGGTGTGGACCTTTCTGCTTTATCCGAATCCTCCCATTCTCCCCGTCTGCTTTTGTTCCAAATAACATCTTCTTCCGAAACAAACACATTCTCTAAAAGACTCGGCATCGGTCCGAAATTAGTTAATGACCCTTGAGCTGAGCTTCAAGGCTAACTAACACCAGTGCAAATTCAGGTCACTTCATAACGTGCGGAAGGGGGATGCATGGAACTCTGTTTGGTTTGGATACTCTTAAGCACGGTGAGGGGTTTGTGGACGTACCAGAACCCGCACCCCCCCCAAATAAATCTACTTCAGACCATATATCCAATTATAAACATTCCTCCTCATCTTCAAACACCTCCACAACCTTACCCCGTCCACTCTCTATAATCTCCTGCAGTCCTGGACTCCTGCTCAGTATCTTCGCTCCGCCATCTCAGGCCTTCTTAATTGCCCCCACCTCTTCTACCCCACCATCAGACTTTGCCCTGGCTCTCTGAGGCGCTCCCACTAAAACCCTCTGCCTTGCTCTCTCTCTCTCGCTCAAATTTTGAAACCTGCCTTAAAAACCTGACAGTATCTTTGGTCATCTCCCCCCCCTATTTCCTCCCTGCTCAGGCTCCCACTCTATCTCTGTAAAGCTCTTTGAGATGGTCTCATCTAGGACAGTTGCTGTAAAAGTGCCCTTTATTGGTTAAATACTGCAATCACAAGCTTTACCGAGTGATTCACTGGAATAATAATAATCATCGCATTTGACATAACACTTTATTATGTCGTTGAGGCGTCTCAAAGCGCTTCACAGAATATACTGTAAAGTGGATGGACTGTATTTTGAGGGCGAAACGTCGTTGAAATTTTTGATATAAGTGCCGAAATAATTAAATTAATTACATCTGTAGCAGAAGGATTTTTTTGGGGGCGGGAGGGGTGTAGAGAGTTAAATTGGGGTCTGAAAAATCAAAGGTAATACAGGACAAGAGTCAGTTCCGAAACAGTAAAACAGGGAAGGCTTCTGACAATGTGGTGAACAATGAGAACAAAGGTCCTGAGTCACTTACTGTCACCTGAACTCGAGGAGGAGCCATTGACCTGAAACAGTCTCTGCTGCTTCTGATCTTCAAAACACATCAAAAGGCAAAGCAGCTCACCGCAGGGTGGCACTTGGAAGTGTAAGAGACGACTGAGCTCATCAGTAACTCGGCTGGTATTAGGTTCACAATGGACAAAACCACTCGAGGTGGAATCATTGATATTTTGATGGCATCAAATACCACTGAATTGTTACGCAGAGCAAAACGCTTGGAGACTTCCTGAAGAAAATAACTATCCACATCCGATCAATAGCGATGCAGGTAATGTGGACAACACTCTCAGAAGAGACAATGCAAACAGGTATTCCTCGGGTTCATTAAGCTTCCTGCAAGGAAGCTTGTGACACGGTTCACGTGTTGGACAGGGGGATTATAATTTACTCTATTGATCCTATCTATACTCACTTTTTGGCGGGAAGTGGGATGTTGGTGTGAGCGAAATGGCTGTCGGGTTTGCCTGCAAATTAGTCACTACACTTTACAGTACATCCTGCAAAGCACTTAGAGATGTCCTCCTGATGATAAAGCCGCTTGTCAAATGCACAGATTATTATTATTTCCAAATATCCAGTAAATCCTCGCCCCTCCAGTGGGTAAGTGCTCGGAATGTGGCAAAGGGTCCTCTCGCTCGCTTTCCTCCTTTCTTTCTTCTGCATTTGACGGCTATAGATTTAGGCTGTTTGTAATTAAAACCACTTGTGCCAGCTATCTTTGCTCTTTTTCATGGCTCAAAGATCAAACGGAGCTTCAGCATCGAGACATTGGCTTTTAAAAAAAACACCTGATGGTTAGAGGGAAAAAAAGTTGTGCAAGAGCTGGCTTTTTTTTTCTTTGAATTATAACCACAAATCTAACAGCAACACCGGTCTTCACCTTTGCTGAGGATTTCAGTGCTGCTGGTAAATATAACGCCAGACAAAGGCGATGCCTTGTCCTGAATCACTCCTCATATCCCTGCTCTTCGTTTATCCTGCGATTCAAGGACATCCTTTTGCACATGTGTTTCCCATTAAGTCACATCTGCAGGGTTGGTGGTGGTGGTGATGGGAGATGGGGCGCGGGGGGGAGAGAGAAACCAATGCTCCACTTCAGAAACGCTTATGCAAAATCAGTTCTAAACAAGAGCTGAGGCGAAGCAGGATTTCCGATCCAAACAGGCATTTGAAATATCACCAGATGTGTTGTTGGA